TCTCAAGTAATAAACATCAGCAGCTTCCTCCAACAAAACCAAGTCACAACCCTGAACACCGCCATCAACAACCTGCCACGGAAAACTACGATAACCCACATTCATATGCCAATGTAACTGAGGGTCTTCCTTCTTCTAACCCAAATCCTTCTTCTACAACCAATAACAAAATATTACTAATTAAATTTTTTGATGACTTTAAATCAATCATATACCCGCTCATTTCCTTACTCATCACAGTCCTCTTAACTCTCTTTAAAACTAAAAATGTCAATTAATACCTCTACTTCAAAGTACCTCCTCATCCTTACATGGAACTCAATCGGACTAACTAAACACAAAAATGAATTACTGGCTACATTACAAAATAATAGAACCGACATTAGACTTATTTCAGAAACCCACTTCACCAATTCTTCACGTTTTAATCTACTTGGCTTCCAAATCTTCAGAACAAATCACCCAGATGGCACAACTCATGCTGGTGTTGCAATTATAATAAGGTCCTCTCTGTTATTCTACCTTCTACCACCATATCAAATAGATCATATCCAAGCTGTAGGCATATCATTAACACTAAATAACATACCCATAAACATCTATGCAACATACTGTCCTCAACGTTATATTATAACCAGAAACAAATTCAATAACTTCTTTCTCACACTAGGGCAGAAATGTATTATTGGTGGTTTGACTATTATACTAGAAAAATTGTTCGAATTAACTTACTGTATGCTCCATTTTGAAATTGAATTGATTCATCTAATTGCTTACAATTGAGTTTTTTAGTTTATTTTTTATCATGGAAAAGTGTATACAGTCAAATTCCTAATTAATATTTTAATAATAATCGATATAATTGATATAAATCAGTTTTAATAACATAAATATTATATTGAAAATAAATTATCGACAAATAACTAATAATTATATTAATAACTAATTTCACCATGATAAAAGCAATTTCATAGAATTATGTAGGTAACTATTACAACTGAAATAATATTCAAAACCAAATCACTGCTTCTGGTATTCTCATGAGCCATCTCCATGAGTCGATGGGGAAAAATTCTAAAATATATTCAATTAGCATGGTTGATGTCACTCGATAACATTGAAGATAAATATATGATATTAAAATATAAATAATATCAACATAATATAATGTATATTTTATAATATATCGTGTATCAACCCAAATCCGTTCTAAACATATACTTTAAATTGTTGTATTATGCAACTATAATAAATTTGTGATTATCTTGGATTAATAATGTCAACAGTTATTATGTATAATTTCAGAACATTTTAAATATCAAAATCGTTAAAAATCTATTTAAATCCCCTGATTCAGAAATTATTTATTTATTTATTGTAATAATATACGGGTTAGGACCCAATTACATGAATTAAATTTAAATAGCATTCGAAAATATTAAAAAAATACAGAATTAAATTTAAATTTAAAAAAATAAAAATACAATTTAATATTAAATAAACATACCAAGTTACATGTACTGCTAGTTTAGCGGAAACATGATTTTTATAAGAGTAGAAGGAAGTAGAAAAAAACGGATCACTATTATAATTATTTACAGAGTTCATGATTCTCAAGAGTGGTATATTAGTTGCATAATTTGTAGTTTGAGATTTTAAATAGAATATGTTAGTTGATCGGGTGTGAGCTGAGGAAACTTTGAATGACTGACGAGTTAAGAGGTTAGGTTTTATTTGTAAGTCAAACAATATAATTTCACAAATATGTTTGATGAAAACTTTGTAAATGTGATATATTTAGGTTCAGTTGTATCATTTATAAGAGAGGATTGAATAATAATACGATATTCTGTAGTGAAAGTGAAAACATTAATTATTGAATAGTATGTTTAAATATTAAGTGTTCATAATTCTCATTTATGTGTTGACCGTCGGGTGTTCTGTAGGAAAAAAAATGTGTCTTCCCTTTATGATTATTTTATGTATTTTTACTGTTTAATATTTTGCATCATCACACCGACCAACAGAACAAAAACGTTAATATTTGAATACCCATTAGTAGGCAAAAAACAAATATTTATTTAGTTATGGTAAAATCTCCGATAAACTATAATGTGAGGATAATTTCTTAACACACCCATCACTGTTAAACAATCAGCTCGTAAGACGGGCTTTTAATACAAACATTTGATTAAACAACAGTAAATTGACACTCGGAAGTGTGCTTCGATATGACTTTGTAAATATTATGATATATAAGCAGAAACGATTACAATACGTGAAATGAATTTTGATGAAACAGATAACGGATAACATACTCATCGCGACAGGGGAGTAATCGGATCGGATCCAGTTTGAAAAAGGTATTTTACTAAAATTAACTGAATTGGTTCTCATTTGAAATAGATATTTTATTAGGTTGAACCGAATCGGTTTTCGTTTGTTTTCAAACAAACTTGATCAGTGAGTCAGTAAAAAAATTACAAATTATGAAATTCTCCCATTTTGAAATGGTAAAATATTAAGGGCTCATTTTCTTATAACGTTCTACTCTATTTCTACTATTCTACTCTAAGCTAATATGTGTTTTAAATTTCAAAAGTTTATCTTAAGAGGAAATAGAAGGGTTAGAAGGCTAAATATCGATTGCGCCGCAAATCGCTGGTAAAGAAAGAAAAATTATGGGATGGAAAAAAGGTATACATTTATTGCGCCCATCAATATTCGAGTTAATATATTATGCGATTACCTAATTGATACATATATTGATGAAAATGCAACTTTTCCCCTGTATCTTTGGTCATCGTGTAACATATAAGGCGAAATAACAACAAATGTCTGTAAGGCATTTCACTCAGCGTTTGGGAAATATTTTTATTGACCCCATCCAAATATTTTTGTTTTTTTATGAAGTTTTAAAAATAATGTAACGCAACAATCATAATACGTGTTCTCATAGTTATCACAAATAAACCAAACTCTAAATTTATGACAAGAAAATAAATAGTAAAATAGACAAAACTAATTTTAATATTAGATCTAAGAACTTTTCAAAATTTGTAGGATTAATGTAAATATATATATGTATAATATACTATTAGTGTAAATGCCAAGTATAATGATAAATTTGATTTTAATTTAAATTTTTGTTTTTAGCCATTATGATTTTTAATTGTACTGTATAGTTATTATACCGGTGAAATTGGTGTATACATTTTAAATATACCCTTTTTATACCGGCGTAATAGATATAGACTAAAGAAGTAGTGTCCTAAATTCGGTGCAATTGACGAATACCGGGTTAGAATAACCGGGCGAATTGGTTCGTGTAAAGATACACTGGCATTGCTGGAACTAGACCGGCGCAATACCGTGTGCTCAGATATTGCTCTTGATCTTGTAACAAACAGAATTAGATTTAATATTATAATAATCAATAAAAACGCTATCACGTCGATAGCTGTATGTAATGGAAACAAAATGTAAATCGCTACTTTTACTAAACGCTTAATTCGCGTCTAGTACCTTGGTCAAAAGTAACTTTTAAACTTGTCAAAGTTCAACAATGAGAGTTGACCATTTACCACCATTTCCTTGTAACACTTTTGATAGGCTGAAATTGCCGGACCGTGGGGGCAACTCTAGGCATCGTATCAAGTTCGTCGAACTTCGTCGTGTTTCGAAAGTCACAACAATAGCCCGACGAGCACTCTGCGCTCGTTTTTAGGGTGCTCGCCTCCCCCCCTTGGATTTTTTTATATCCTTTGTTATGTTTTGCATGTTATATGTTCAAACTTTTTTTTTAAAAAAAAAGTTTTTATTTTTTTTTGCACCAGCATGAAAAATTGAATTGATAGCAATAGACAAATATACGTTATCAAAAAATACAGACCTACAACTAGAATCAATAAGGTTAAGCTTGTCGGGTTTGATTGGGTTTTTTCAGATTGTAGTAAATACTCGTAAAATATACGAACTTTTTACTATACTCGTATATGGAAATAAAATGAAAATATTTAAATTATGAAATAAAAAATTAAAGCTAAGTCATTTACAATAGTAAACAAATTGTATTCTTTATTTGATATATGTAATTATGAGGGGGAGCAACAAATTGAAAATAGCCTCCTCCTTTTGATGCTTTATCAAAATCGTCACTACGAGCACCTACACCGTGAATAACACCTAGGGCGGTAATAAGGGGAGGAGGCGTAACTAGAGGAACCTACGCCTCGGGCGCAATTCCTGGTAGGGCGCAAAAATGAAAACATTTCAATTTAATTGTTATTTAAATGATTTATAAAAATTATTATGTTATATCTGTGAATTTACTTATAATTATTATTATTATGTGTATTTATATTTTAATAAGTTATTGATTTAAATAAAAATAACAAACGCTTATATAATTAATTATAAGGAAAAATATTTATTTATATTGCGTTTATAATAAATATTCAGTTTTTCGCGAGTTTTTCTTATAGATCAAAATACTTAAAGCCGCATTTTGAAGTTTTGCCACGACCCTGATAACACCGCGCGACTGTTAGCACATACGAACACAATATTGCGGTGGATACACTTTTCGCCGAGGCTGCTCATTGCGATCCGTACACCGGGTACACGTTACACGCGTGATAACAGCGCTGATAACGCGAATCGTTTCGGTACTGCGATTTCAGCGGAACACGATTGCCGGTCACAACCATAACAATAACGGTAATAACAACGCGATTGGTAAACAGGACGCTATCGGATCGATGGATCTACACCGTCTACAAGGGCCCGATCCTGGCGCGCGCATACGCTTCCTTTCGGCAACATAACCAACAGAATCACGTGGAAACGCAAACGACCGTTCCAAGGTCCAATTCCCTCCTAGAAAACTTAACGACTGCCGGCGGTCATGTAGTACTCTCGTATGTACCTGTGCTCTGTAATTATACCCACTCCGCTAATAGTACAATAACGACGATGATAATAATAATGAAAATAATCGTGGTGCAATGAACACAGCGATGCGATTTTAGAGTCGATTCGACCACGATGACGGTAACATCACGGGTTCTGGCGTTATTCATTGTAATCGAAATCGTTTTCGGTTGCGACGTACGTATACGCCTGTTTACCTTACTACGCCTTACAGCGTCGTCGTTCAAATCGTGCGCGACCGTTTATAAAAATGCCAGTACATGTTTCAACGTCAACATCAACAATATCGTGTCGGTTGGTCCGCGATGTTTGCACGCGCAGCGAGGAGCATGTGTAATTGCACACGAACCTTTTAGAGTTTACCGTACTTCTGTTAAGACCATGATATTTTCTAGTAACATAAAAAAAATACCGTTTCTGTCCGTCCAACGAATTAACTTTATACAGTAATATTTTTAATCCGTAGCCTTCAGCCGAGTATAGTCGGATAAAGTTTCGGAACGGTTTTCGAATCGTACGTTCAGGTAGAACCGTGTCTTAAAGCGGAAGAAATGGTATTTTTTGTTTATGAACGAATTCGCACCGAGAATTGTCGCGCAGAGAGGTTCGACCAAGTATCTCACGGTTATAAAATATTGGTGGTCGCGTACGATTTGAAAGATACCGCCGTACGTTCACACCCCGTTACCATGTACGGGGTATTAGGTACATGCACGCGTAACAGGTGTGCTCGTATGTAAAAGACCGGCGCAACGGGTGTACAACTCCATGTTGTAGTCCGTCGTCGTGTTGTTCTGTAAAACGTGAACGCTTGTTGCAGACGCCTCCGTGGGTGCTGAAAAGAGCCGATCCGGGTAGCAGCGCCGTGTCGTTCTACAACAACACCGTGTCCAATTCGTACATGTTGGCCCGATGGACTTGGACGGACTCGTCCGGCGGCTTTTGGGATACCAGGATAAGAGTGACGATGGACAAAGAAGGTAAGCGGATCGTTTAGTACATTTCGTTGTGATCGCGAAGCGACATGATACGTCCGGCCCCGATCAGAGCCGCGTTTAAAGGGGGCAATTTCCCCGGGGTTGGTACATTTTTGAGGATCAACATAAAATAAAAAATATATAATTATAATTTTTCTTCTATGACTGTACAACTATAATACATATTACTTCTGTTACACATAATATTTTATATTTTGAATTGTAATTTTCTTAAGGGTGGCATATTTTAATTTGCCCCGGGGTGGCTACGTAGCTTAATGCGGCACTGGCCTCGAAGATAGAGGTCATAAGGGGTTGTGTACCAGTGGTCTTCGAACTGACCGCCGTGAATATATTTTTAGTGGGATAAAAGAAGAATGTAATAATGACAATAACAAAAAAATGAATCTTATACAATTCTTCACGGCCAAAACACGGTCATTTTGCGAAGAACACGTTGCGCGGAAAAAGTTTGATTTCGAATAAAATATACCCATATTTAATATTTTTAAAATTTTTTTTTACCAACCTCGTTCGTAAATCGTTTATTTAAAATCAAAAATATCGTTATGGTCTTTGGGGAAGGGGAGGTTTCGCCCGTGCGCTACGCGATTGACCAGCCCTAGAAAATAAATCCTAACGCGCTCGAAAACGGCTAAATACACGACATCGCCATTATAATAATGCACGTGCAATAATTATGTAGTAGTTAATGCTATTATGGCTGCAACGGCGAACGGAATAATTGTACGCGCAAATATGGTGTACGAAATGAAAAAAATAAAACACACTATAATATATACGGTTTTTTATTTCAGTCGTAATAAAATAATTTCCGCTGAAATAATTTATTTCACGTGTGCGAACGCCACAACATTCGTAAAATCATTATCAAACGCGCGTTTGGTGTGATTTTGTAGTTTATGAATTTTTTGTTTTTTCCATTTTTAAGTATATTTATTGAGTGTATTAACCCTGATAACATGCACTTTGAAAATAGCCACTAAAAATGTATTGAGATGAGTAATAATAACAGGACCAACAGAGTTCATGTGCTGGAAACGTAAAAGAAATAATAAAAAAATAATAATACATACCTTATCAACAATACAGAAAATTATGATCAAAATTAAAAAATGTCGTGTGATAAAAGCGGCGCGTACTATAAAAGTTGCACAACCAAATATTCGAGTTTCCACATAATTTTTTTAATCATTAATGAAAAGGTCAATATTATACGTCTAATTGCCTCCCGCGGTCAGATGGTATAGTATACTACACGAGTCGTTTCCCAAAAATGTTTATGATAGTTGCCCACCGTGAAAGCATAAGGTTAGGTTAGGAGATGAGATTTGATATGTGCCAAAAGTAAATCGAGTAATTCGATAACAATTATTGTACACAATGCATTTAATCGTAGAAAATATAATAAGAGTACATCAGTCTTATTAAAAATAATGTACAACAAAAAACAGTCATACACCGACAAATAGTTATTCGTCAAATGTATTAGTTAAGTAAAAATTATGGTTTTTTATTAATTATAATATTTTTTAGATATTATTTGATTTTTAAAAAATGTATATTTGAATGGAAAATCTTTAAGTAATTATATTTTATAAGATATCGTTTCTTTATTTTTAGATAACGGTAATCAATATAATTATTCATCATACTATTATTTAGATTCAGATTTTTCAAATAATATTTTATACGTTAAATGTTTTTTTTTTCACATCTTTTATAATACGAAATAAATTTTGTTTTTTATTTGTATTCCTGAACATTTTCCAGGCTTAACAGAACTTATATATATAATTATAATATATATAATATGCTGAACTAAATTTTAGGATCTTACAATAGGAACCTCCAGGACCCCAGATCACAAGTTGTAATTTTAACCATCTTGTTTGTAATATAAACTTTGTATATCTTGGATCTAATCTATGTTCAGATTCTGAAAGGGGCGAATATAAGCATAACTTTTATAACTACAGGAAATTTAAATTACCTTAATACGGAAGTAGTTATAAAATAAAAAACGGTTTTTTATCTTATAATAAATAAATAAAGAAGAAAAACTTTTGTTTTTGTTTTAACTACTTCCGTATGAAAGCGATTTAAACGACTTCGATCCACCGAACTGTTTTAAACGAATATGATAATCCATTGTATGTTATAAAGTTTGTCAATAACGAAACGGTAAATGTTCAAATAATCGAATTCTATAAATTATTATAAATCAAATGAAAACAAAATAGATATTCATTTTAAAATTGAAAACTCTATTTAAATAAAATATATACATTTTCATGGAACAACTTACCATATGTGTATTAAACTGTACAATTATTGTTTAAATATATTTTATATATTAAAATGTTAAGACTTGATACAATATCTAGTTGCTCGGTATTGCGCTTCTAATGCTGGAAATTATTTTATATTTACTATCAGTCGTATTCATTAGGAAACATACAATTATACGTTCGATAAAAACAATGGTTGAATTAAAATTAATAAATACTAATTTGACGGAACCGATGGCATCTTATTTTTTTTTCTCCGTAATGATTCATGCCAGTAAATACAGCAATTGATAAAATATATCCAGACAATGGGACATCAATAATAATAGTTTCCGTTTATCTAATTGTAATCTTATTTTATATTTTTAAGGACATATTTAATGTATATGGTTTGAGGTTACAAACTAAAAATTACTTTTTCGGCTACCAACTATTTATCATTGCTGTACTGAGGAATTAACATTTTCATCGGTACGAATTAAAATCCAAGCATATGTTTAAGCATTATGCGTCTTATATTTATACATGATTCAGTAATCATAATTAGATAATCGTAACACGGAAGAACAACCACGGTGTAGATTCGCTAACCTAAAGGTACGCTCACCTATTTGTATATTGCATGATTAGTGATTACTAACACGACAGTTGACGGCTTACTTGAAAAGCCAATATTGGTTTAAAGATTAGATATTCAAACTGTGGTAATAAGTCACAAAACAAACATATTACATAGCGTACGTATTCGGCAACGTATGATCTTAATGCCCTACAGTCAGTAGCGGCTTTTCGGGGGATAATAAAGGCCGTGCCTCCTCCTCCCGAGACATCATAATCTTTATTATGTTAAACATTTTCGTTAACGTAATTATGTATTGTTTGTATAACGTATACGGTTTGAATGTAATATGTATTTGTACGGTTCTGACTAATTTTATTATAATCATGTACGTATATACACAGGTCCAGCGCTAGCGAATATTGATGTGGTGGGGTTGTAAACGTACAAACTATCCACGGCGATAACTTTTTTTCCCCAAAACAATATATTGTGACAACAATATATGATACGCAACTGTGTTACAATGGACCATAGCTACAACGTACTATCGCTAAATAATCATTATGAACACTTGGTATTTCACATTATCGTACGGTTATTATTCCATATTTTTTATCATGCCTTTATTGTACGGTGGAAATTCAAAACCGTATTGTTACAACTCGTTTTATTGCCAACGCGAACATCTGTGATTCGTTATCTGGATGTTATATGTTCACGATATGATCATGTTTGTATGGTAAACGGGAATAACGTGCGAAAACCAAGGCCGTGCCGCCTATATTACATTTCGTAATAGGGATTTCAAGGCTGTGCTGTATTACAATTAACGTACCTTCCGACCGAAGAACTCGAATAACATTTAAATTATATTTAAATTTATACATGCAGGTATATATATATAACAAACGTTATACGAAATATATATGTATACAGACATTTTTAGGAATTATTAATAGGTTGCCTACAATTACCAATGAACAGAAAGTGTTAATTAATCAAAATCGTATAGATCAAGTATACGACCAAACACGAATGGAAATAACGTAATGTTACAATATAATTAAAAACGAGTAATATTCCGGAACGAACGGCGGAGTCGGCGCTTTTTTTTTTCTCTCGTGTCGGCGTTTTCGAATACCGGACCGATTCACTATACGTTACTATCACGGGTCGTCCGCGTTCTTCGACAGCATTTCGATTTGTTCATCGCAGGTTGCTGAACAGTAGTCCTGGACGGTTTCCTTGATCCTAACCATCGGAGTACACTACACGCTCGACATCCGTCACAGCACAGAGCTCTCCGAGATCCTCATCGTTCCTGACCGTGTTTATTCCTTCGCGAGCGGTGGATACTACAAGTACACACACGCGTATATTATGTGCACGTAGCGGCACGGCGCGTTTGTCCGGAAGAGCTTATTATATTTACGTTTCGCGGAGACCATGAGACGTACGAAAGAGGCAACGACGAAATGGAGCGCAAAACGGTCTGCTTAATAGAATTCATCCGTGCGAAAAAAAAAAGAAAAAAAACGGAAAAATAATAATTTTCCGTGATTCAACTCATCAGTTTTAGATTAAGTACTGATTTGCCGGTGTAACATATAACAACTGTTTGTCCTATTTATTTATAATACACCTACACAGTAGTAAAATAATAAAAAATGTACCCGTTAAAACGTGCATAAAATCTATTCGCCTTTCTTCTCTCTCACTAAAATTTGAAATTCTAAAAACATTATCCTTGTTCCTTTGGGCGGCGCATGCAGCCGGACGAGCGCGCTATCTATCAGTATGATGTGTCTATCCTTCGAAATGTGTCGACATACAATCCTTAACGCCTACGAACGACAAAACGTTACCCAGATAATGGACATAGGCTTGCAGTTTTTCGGACGAAATCAGTCTCACGGACGTACCGAAAACATAATATCTGGATATTTTGCTATACGATTGAAATTCAAATAATCTTCGAGTTAACCCGTCATATTATACGTTCTCGTCTGAAAGCGATATCACCTTTTGCGATCGAAACATTCGTAACCCGCAGTCGAGCTCGATTAGAATATAATTAAACGACATATTCTGATATTCACTACATCTATCCCTAAACCCAGTTTTCCGTTCGTTTCGGAACGTATTCGAATCTTGGATTCTCGTAACCAATGAACGCGTTTCAATTCAATCGAATTGAAATTATACTGTACGCACTACGTTATACTGTTATAATATAACATATTATGTAGTATTAAAAAACGATTTTGAACAAAAGAATAATATTTCGTAGCAGCCGGATTACACTCGTTACAATATACTCGTATTCATCCGAACACAATATCCGATTATATTCTAAAATATCGTACTTCGTTAAGACAAATGCGTTTTGCGCATACGAAACGGAACATTTAATTCGAACATTCATCTGAAATAATTGATTACGAGTACATTATTCGGTGCGTTTAAACGTGAAACGCCATCACGTAGCTTAGATAATCACCGAATAATGACCGATTGTTATATCCATGCGGCATCACGAAAAAATCATAACTTTTCTCGGTCACAGAAATACGAATTGCTTACTACGCGAACAGTAACGATAACGATACGAACTCATAGGCGGTTTGACATTTATCAGTCAGTGGTTCGAGCGTAGTAAATACCACCCACCCAGCTATTGAAAAGTCATATTAGGTACAAAATCTTACCTAATTTTTATTGAACTACCAATTTTATAGAACCCATATGTATACCAGATGCCAAGTATTCACCTATTAAAATGACACCCATCCCAAACTTTTTGATACTTCAGTGAACCACGAAATGCATGATCAAGACGCCTCTGCACGGACCGTACACAAAACCATTGTACACGCACGGGCAATATTTTCAGAATACGCAGATTTCTCCGATCAATGTCTATAAATGTTGACGAAAAAACGTTCGGCCAAACTGTTTAGTGGAAAACATCGTTGCTCGCAGTATATTCGCGGACAAATTGTACACAACGAACAGTTTTCCATCGTCGTTATTTGTGCAAAGTACGTTTGTACCGATTTCGAAGATTTTAAAAATTCGCACGATTCGTAATGCACGCTGCAGGGGCGTATTTTGATTTACTTCTGGAGGGGAGGTGGTGAGGCGACTCAAATTTTTTCTTTAATTCAGGCTCAAAATGTTTGGTAATATTTAAATCTGGTGAGTCCTTAATATTCGAGGTTTTTCTTTTTAATCTAACGTCGGATCCACTTTTCGATCCACTGAATCGACTTTTGTGTAGTTCTTTTTTAACACTTGTCTGTGTTTTCAAAGTTACGTTTTTATTTGATTTTTCATAAAGGATGAACCCGACAAAAAGCCGAATTCAGTATTCACAGTCCAAATAATATGCCACCGAACATACGGAGGTATTGCGGTCGGTAACAGGTGAAAAGTTCAATGGCGATAAAATTTAAAATTCAAAAAAAAATAGGTTAGATTTTTCGCCGAACCGTCTTGCGTGTACCGATCGGTCGAACGATTTCGTCCGAAAACCATTTTATTTTCACAAGGTTGTTGTACCGAGAACGCAATGGAAATAAATCACCTTGTGAGCGTGCGCGCGTGATTATTGCAACGTTATTTTTGATTTGCCGACCGTAAATTCGTTCGCGTAAAAGTGCACGTTCGACGCGGTCGTTGTTGTCCAAACGTGCGGTGAAAAGACGGATTCGTCGTCGGCCACCCATCCGCGGACGTTCAACTCGCCGGCGGCGATGGCATTACGCGCGTACGCAAACAGCACGCTTACGAGGAAAAGCAAAACTTTTTTGCTTTTTTTTTTCGTTGCCTTTTTTTACTTATAAATACCTTTTTTTCTGTGTTGATTTTCAATTGATTAAAAATATTGAATTAAAATTAAAATTAAATCAATTTATTTAAGAAATCGTTAATAATCTTAATTTAGATAATTGTTTATGTAAGTACTCCCCAATAACTTCGGCGGACGCCGAAAGATCATTTTTATGTACAAAATTACTTTAAACCCAAACCATCAACGTTTTAGTGAAGATAATCAAATCTAAGCTAAGAATATGATAATGAATTTTTTTTATTACTAACTAGTCATAACTAGTTTAGACTATAGTCTCTTTAATTTTGAAGTAATTTTTTTAATTGCTTTTTATTTATTTTAAATGCTTTTTTTACCCTTTTTTCACATTTTAAATGCTTTTTTTTATGATTATATTGCTTTCAAATCCGAATCCGTTTTCGTTTTAAATCCCAAGCAATTCCGTCTTATCGGACTGTATTACGACGGAACAATTATGGAATAATAATATTGTAGTAATATTTATCGTGGGCGAAAATCAGGGTGGCTTATGGGAGTTTTGACCCTCTCAAATATTTTCTAGGTTCTCTAAAAAAAAAAATATAATTATATATAAAATTTATGTATAACGCGACTTCGTCGGATTTTTAAACGAAAGCCTTTTTTAAAAAATTAAATCCCTCTAAAATTAAATGCTACCTTCATCCTTGGTGTGCATATGCATTCCATGCCATGTTGGTATTAGGTTAATTACTGTAACTCGGACTAATGCATTTTAACATAGAAAATAAATGTTTTATACATCTTAAGTTTTCGGGGAGTAAAAAAAATATTGTAAATTAAAATATTGCTCCTTGCTTCTTGATCCCTTTTTAAAAAAATTCTAATTCGAGCCAACTATCTTTTTATTAGTTTAAGTCTTATAATTTCAAATATTTTTCTAATTATTGAACCAATAATTATAGTATACGTTGTGCAATGAAAATATATTTTTAAGTAAATACATTTTTTTTTATTTGTTAAAACAATTGAAACAAAAGTTTTTCCTTATTAGCCTTTGATCATATCTGACCAACCTGAACCATTATGAATGAACATTTCATTACCTATGTTATCGTTACCCTCTTCCGAGGGCCTAGAAATAATGCTCATAGTGTGGACCCTATACAATCTAAAACTGGTTGGGTGCAAATAATACCAAGTTTTTTTTTTTTTTTGCTAAACCGCGGAAAAATGTACAATACTAAAGATACTGAAAAAAACCCCAACCCTTCGTTTACAGTAAGAATTGTTGTGATAACAAGGTTTACAAGAATAATTTTTATAAGCTTATACGGTCAGAAAACTGTATCCTATGCGATAAAACGGTTTCGAATTCCCGGTGGAACACCATAAATATTTACATAACCATTATTTTCGGACGGCTTTCGAGTTAGGCCAAGGTCCGGCGTCTGTCGATTGCAGAGCACTAACGGAACATTGGCTATTCAGTGTTCGGGGTTCGGCGACATCGATGCCGTGCTCCGAAGTAGTTTTCGTAGACTCCGTTCGCAATAATAATTATTATTTGTTAATAGTTATTACCAAGTACTAACTGAATTAATGCACGAAACGTGTATAATGTACTACAATACTGTACAATTGCTGTTAACTAATGTATATTTGCATAAAATGCGATTGATTTTTATCAAGTATTTTTAATTTGTTTTGCATACACAAGTATGTAATAATTATAATCCATGCGTTTACATTTCGTATAGAAATATCCAAAAGCAAACCGTTCACGTCCACGTGTCCAACAGTAACACCCCTTCCACTTGAAGTATCGGAACTTTGAACTTTTGTAAAAAAAATTTTCATTTTTACTCGACCGTATTATTGGAACGTCTGGAAGCCCTCAAACCCCCTAAAGCTAAGTACTTACGAGTTACATATAACGATGTGTTAGCACATAAGTTACAAGCGTAACGCGATTACATTACTCGAAAACTGAGTATAGCGTGTTCGTGCTTATTTATTGCTGTATTTTATACCATTATCAGTAAATAATATACAAAATATACTCGTGCAACGCCTACAGCTTATGCAAAATCTGTTAAACAAAAAAGAAAATTATTTGTTTTACAGCTGTTTAATAATGAATTACAGTAAACGCAAACGAAATTGCTCATATCATCACAATTCGTAACATAATACACGTTAAAAATAATTTATTGGTTTCTTACTTCATTTTAGTTAAGTTATTATTATTTTTTTCTGCGTTGGTAGAAGGGCTTAGGACGAGGATGGAAAGGGATCAGATGTTCGAAAACCATGTGTTCGAAAGTCGTCTATACGAAAGATATATGTACGAAAAGTCACATGTTTGAAAAAAAAAAAGTGTTTTTAATTTTTTTTATCTGTTAATAATCTTTTTGTTAATTATTTAATACATTATTAAAAAATGAGTTATAAATCTAAAAATTATATGAAAGTTATTAAAATCGTATAAAATATTAAAGGATTATTAAAATAATTATAAAATGAATGCATTTTCATTTTATTATTGTATTACAAAGATTTAGTGTACTCACATTTTACCAAAGGGTTCTTACCCGTTCATTATTAATTAAATAAAATTAGGAAAAGTGCTTCATATGACTGAACACGTTTGGTTGAATTAGATGAGCGTACAAACGTGAAACGACAGACTTCAGTACGTTTACAACATTTCGTGCGTAAATGATATCTAAACACAAAATCAATAAAGATATAATATGTATTATGTATACGTATACTTATAGTATCATATCTGAAAATTACTTGTTAGGTATGTACAGTGTATGTATAAGTAATGAGATTGTTGATGTAATTGAGCGTACTATGGAAGACAAAATAAATACGTAGTAAAAATTGTCAATAATTATTAACTTAAGTACAATATCGTATTCAAGTGTATATCAATGAAATAAAATTATAATATTATTTGATATTGGTGCAATTGGAGTAATTTCTTTTTAAATATAATTTATATATTTTTTTCGATCATATGACCTTTCGAACACATGATTTTCGAATACGTTACCGACGACTAGGATGTGTAGGGTTTTAGAACTTGCGCTTTTGCACTACTTTTCCCGTCTTACACGACTCCTGCGCGGGCATGATAAATACCAACAGGAGTGCTGACGTATAATCTCCAAACATTTGTTCGTTTAGAGATCATCGGCGGCGGGTTCACGTACTCCGACCAGTACGAGAATGAATTGGCGTCCGTCAGGTGGTACAGGATCAAAGCGGACGGACCGATCAAATGGAAGTACACATCGTTCGCTTCGCCACCGGACAGCTGGTGGATGGATTCGGTGGTGCCGGTCCAGGGCAACATGACGTGGGGCTTCAAAAATCAGATCACCGACGGTTCGTGGGTGTTCAGAGTCGGTAAGTGCGGTGCGAAGGGCACGTTGTTCCGGTTAGTCTTTCGACATTTCCTCGTGGTAAATAACACACGTTTTGTTCGAGATACGTTCGCAGCATCGGTTATTGTTCGATCGGATCGGACGAAATGGCCGTGCCGGTCGTTTAGCATATCGTCGTCTGCGGGAATAAATCTCCTTTGTGAAAAAACGCTACTTTTCAGTACAGACAAAATAGTTAGTTATGTCACTCCACGACACTAACCTATAAACAAACGACAATACCTCGAAGTTAGTATTGGATCCAATGCGATCGCCATTTATATTTTTGTTCACGTAGGACGTATTTAACGTATTTATAAATTTTTCTAAAAACGTTTTACACATAAGAGCTCAAGTATTTACATTTGAGATATTCCAGAAACGTTTATGATTAGCCCTACACAAGGGAGATTATTAAATTTATATTTCATTAAACACGGAAATAAGATAGCACACAGGAGTTTTATTCATACTCAAGATAATTTTTTTCTGATTTTAGAGATGCCAAAACTTCAATTTGGTAATTTTTCACATAGGTGATTTATTCCCACGGATGACGATATCCACATGAAGACGATTCTCGATTTTTAGTCCCACGCTAAACGCTATATCGGTTTTCACGAGTCAAGGGGACATAACCAAACGCGACCGCACGCAGCTGGGTAACTGGTAAACGTTTCGAAAAAAAAAAAATTAAAAACCTACACCGTTTGTAATTATTGAGATTGACGGTACCTAAAACCCATTTGTAATGATCGAGGGATGTAATCACCGCGGCATCGCGCAACACGGAGCTCCAGTAGTGTAGCGAACAAACATTGCGCGAGGGGCTAAACTTCAAAATGCGCCCTTACGTATTTTTAATTTAAAAATATTGCTGCTCATTAGATATTATTTTCAATGATTGCTTTAATTGATACGAAAGATGTTAAACATTTTGTAAACACATATATACGACATTGACCATTGTAATTTTTAACATTAAATGCAACATTTTAATTACTGCGCTCCCTTAGGAAATGCACCCGGGGCGTAGACACCTCTCAACACCCCCTTGCTACGGCCCTGGCGGAGTTCTAACGTGCCATTTACCATTTTAACAATGCTAGTTGTGCACCACCGAAGCAACGGTCTTTTTCTTTGTCGGTCGAATAATTTCCCCTGAGAGCAATGATACCGGCTAATATTTATTCACGAACTCTAATCCATGACACAACGTCCGGAAGGACGGTCTTCTGAATAATCAGAATTGATAACGATAATAGCGAAACTGGTAAACTCGTAAATATTAAAAATAGTCTTCTTGAGTTGCACGTGTGCATCTATAGTTGCTTCACTGTAGCGCCTTAGCCTTAGCCTTAGCGCGATTTGGTAAAATGTTGATCTTAAGCCTGTAAGATATTACAACGGTATAAAGCTTATGTATACCTCGTATACCGGATGTCGTATTCAATGGCGTTTTTAAGGGGTGTTAACCGTTTCCCGAATTTTTTTTATATTTACTGTTTCGCGGAAGCTGTACAAGTTAATTTCCATTGTTATGACTAGGGCTCGAGACTTATAGAACTAATAAATCTGAAATATGCGCTATTATATGCACCGAAAAAATGTAAAATATGTGTTATAATATGCACTAAAAATATGAAAATATGCTTTAAAAATAATTTATTTAAAATTTTTATTTAGACATTTATGAATTTATAATTATTAAAATTTAAAGAAAAATTTTTATATAATTTTACAGTTATAATTTTCTACAAATAATGACTAAAAAATCTTTCCTGTTCTCATTAATTTGTATGTGTCGAATTTTGTCAATCTGTAAAATATAATTATTTCAAATCAATAAATCATTAAAAAGTAACTTACAGTTTGTACCTTCATAATTGCACTGTATTATTATGTGTTTCTGAATATTTTCAAACTTGAAAGATCTGTTATTGCTAAATAATGTTTTGTACAACAACAACATTAAGATAAAAGATACGATAAACACAATATTAACTTGCATTGGGATATTTTAGGAATATTTTTTTCAATCGACAATGAGTTTTATAACGTCCCAAAATTGTTGATCACTGATGAGTGATCGAAATATGTATTTTTGCAGGACTGAGTTTTCGATTTTTACATTAATTAGCAATAAATAGCAGAATAGTCAAAAAAATAGCAAAACCTCTAGAATATACAAAAATATGCACTAAAAACTTTTAGTATTGAGTTCATTTTTGTCTGAAATGGATTTATTGCTTACTCTACTATCTTTTCATAAACTACAAAAAAATATGCAAATGCTACAAAGTCTCGAGCCCTGGTTATGACTATTCGCCTATCATGCGTTCCGACCAAATGCGGTATCCAACTTTGTAATTACAATAGAAACGGTTTCTACCATCGGCACCACGTTCTGCGTTATGATCGTAGACAAAAAATAAAAATCAACTATCGTTAACACCGTCAACGTCAAATGTACAGATTTTGCCCACCCCCTCTTGAAAATGTTCTCAAACACGTCCACCAGTCAAACCCGACCAAAACAGTGGTCGTTTAAAGTTTAATCGTAGAATCGTTTTCGTCTGGACACGAGAAGACGGCAGTTTGTTTACACATATATATGTGTGTGTTTGTTTCGATAATGCGATTGCGATGTTTGCACGGATCCAGGTAACGATACGCTGGAACCGAAAAACGCTCAGTCCGCGGACGAATGGTCGTCGCAAGGCGTGCGAAACCGATGGAAGCGATCACCGAAAGCACGCGATAAGGTAGGTGTACCAGGCGATCGTTGTTTTTTTTTTTTTTACTTTTCACAGAGCGAGTTTCCGAGCACGTATTGTCAGTGCGTTTTTCGTTTTCGGCAACCGTTCGCACTTCCGTTTCAGCTTCGTTCGACGACCGCACGCGGTTAATGTTGAATGCTTTGGGTGCACGGTTTTCTTCTGGTCCGCACTTGTGTCTACAACAGCAATCGTTTTCCGATACGCGATAACACATGTTAACATGACTAATCCACTAATTCACAGTACCTATACCTGCAGCTTACCTACGATGTAGTCACGGTGTTTTCAAAGGTTCGCAGTTGGACCAAGGTTTCCTGTTCGGGAACATTACGCGAACGTCCACGACGAGTTTCTTTTTTGAAACCGATCGAGTCTGAAATCGTAAAAAACAGAACGTCGAGTTCAAAAAATTGTTAACGACATTTCAGTGTTCAGCAGTAAGAGTTTCGGGGCTTTACGTGCTTTAAGGAGTTGTAACTTTTGATTTCCTTCGTTTATCACGAGCAACACAAACGATGTAACCCGAAAAACGATACAAATGCAAACGCCCATATAAATAATAACAATAGCAGTAAACAATTACGGACGTAGCGAAAAAAATCGCAACGAAAAATCCACTAGGCTTGAGTGGGAGCACGTGCTTCGCAAAACTTCTTTCCGTTCGACTCGAGATGGGCGCATTATCGAATGCGCTTCGTCCGCCGTCGCCAGTGGCGCAGGAAGACTCGATAGTGCCCCTGGCAAACTTAGAAAAAAAATTAATCTCAATTAAATTTTGATGTTACGATATTTTATACTTATAAGTTATTATAACAGTGTTAATTTTAAACTTTTAACATTTTCTTTTCTCGCTTTATGATTAGCAAATTCATCGATAATTTCTTCATACGAAATGTTTTATTTAAATGACCTTGTACTATTTTCATAATTTCATCATTAAATTCACACGTAGTGTGTACAAATAGACAACATCTACGTATTTCGAAAACTATAATGGAAGAATTTCGATTTGATCGTAGGATAAAAATACGACTTTTGCAAAATGTTGCGCCCTTTGCAATTCGCGCCCTTGGCGTAGGCACAGTTCGTCATATCCTTGCTACGTCGCTGGCCGTCGCACGCTCTAACCGCAAGCCAAAACGCACTGGGGTGTGGACGTACATTTTGGCAGTTAACTATTGTGTCGCTTTAAGCACTAAACAAATTGCCACCATGAATATTTTTTCCTGTCTAAAAAAATGTTATTAAAGCGTATAATTGTAGTTGTTTCCTTTATTACTTAAAATTTTAATGATGTAAAATAAAAATGTACAGCTATTATAAAAATGCGTACATACATTCATATGAAAAACTTTACTATAGAAATATGATATAAAATATAATGATAAAAAACATGGTAGTAAAAAATGCTTAAATATTTAAATTATCATTCAAAATTAAATAGTTAGTGCCTAGTGCCCGTCGGATTTAATAAGATTAAACATTTTATGATCAGTTGCATTTATTTTAGTTCTAGTCACGTGTAACGAAAATGTAATATTAAAATTGATTCGCCACCCACAGCACATAGTGTTTACTGGGAAATACGGCACAGCCTTTAGGGCGAACCAACCCGTCCGTACCTACCGGAAATCGCGGCGGCGAAACTAAACCGTGTTCTGAACGCTTGCGCACCACGGTCCGTTCGTCGGTAAACCGAGTGATCAACACGAGAAAACGGATCGTTTGGGCTTTACGACCGCCGCGCCGGAGATAAATCGCCTGCCAAACACGAGACGGACCACGACCCCGTTACCGGTTTGATGAAAAATGGAACGCGGCGCCGTTTCGATCATCAAATCGTTTCGGTCGTTGGCTGTCACGGCTGGGGTGCGTCGCATTTGCATTTTACGACGTTTATCGCGTTCGTCGCGAAACGTTCCCAGTTCGAGCCGGTTATAAGTGCACACGCACAGTCGCAATCAAAAAACCAAATACACGCACGTGCGCACCGCTACGTTCTGTTCTAATGCAGCGCTTTCTTTTTACCATTTTTACTGTTCGACGAGTAAAACGTGTGTACGATTTTCATACGTGTACCGATTAATTGCCAGTATAAATTAGTGATTACTAAGTATTATGATTATCACTTTTCGGTGATTTCCGGTAGACTGTCTCTTGACGCGCGGCATACGCAGAGCAAAGCGTGGCCTTGGCCTTACTTTGAAAGTTTCCAAGACTTTTTTCAGATAACTAACAATTATGATGTCCTATGTAAACAGTAAATTACCAAACCATACGTTTCAATACCCGGTTACAATCGGTGGAATAATTCAAATAATAATAATTCACGGAAGGTCAGATGCGATAGGTTTTTTACAGTAGAAAACTGGATTTTCTTTTCACTTTGTACGTCTGTTAATTAACTAATAATTATTTTCATTTATCGTTTCATAACAAGCAGTTAACATTGAAAAAAAAAACAGTACGACGTGGATACTTCTTCCGAAGATAATATTATTGTTCGCTAATATTAACCCAGTTAACTTACTGCACCCGGGCCCTTGATAAGGATTTCACCTTTATGCACGTATTAAGCTTTTTAAAACGATTCGATTTGAAACCGGTGTTTTTAGGTGGACGCGGAGAGCTCGGGAGACAAACAAAACTCCAAAACCCGAACAGCGAATCCAAGCGCTCTAGGCAAACAGGATGATGGAGGAGAAGATATTTTTCAATCGATTATCGGTAAGCGTTCTACCAAACGGTCATGTGCACGGACGGGATAACGCTCAAAGGAAAAATTCATTAAAGGGAGGACGAATTTCTTAACATGTAAATTTTAATGAGAACAGAAAAAAATATGAAATTGTGCCTGAATAATATTAGATATAATTTATTATTAGGTTAATGAGTAATACTGCAAATTTTTATTAGCGGTGAATGAGTAATACTGCAAATTGATTTGTTTCATACACTTATAATATTAATAATAACGATATTTGTTAAATAGCAAGTACAAATATTATTTTTCCTGGGGGAAGGGAAAATGTCTCGTCCCGAATGAGCGCTCATAGTCGTGTGTAATCGAGTCCTCGGAAGTTAATCAATGCCTCTATTGTCGCTCTGCGCTCAATATTCTAATAATACGTTGATTTCATTAATGTCTGTGTTTTAACAGGTCATTTCATGGACTTCTTTGAAAAGTTTAAAATGATAAGTGAGGACATTGTCACAAACCTCGGATAGCAACGATCAGCGAATTGCGATGGACGAACGGCCTACATCACTCCTCGACTATACACTGTGCTTTTGAATTGTTATTTTAGACACAATAATACGTTCGACTGCGTTCGTTACGTTATTATTAAATTTGCACGCATAATTATACTTTGAACGACTTTTATTACGTGTTATCATCGAAACACGTTGCACTAAATATGTATTTATTTTTTTTTATCTAGAACATTAAGAAAAATAAAAGTTTTATGTAACGTGTTCAATCAATATTAATTCAATACAATAAATGGTTTATATTCATCAATATGTACATAATTATTTACTTGCTAAGTAGTTTACAACAAACTTAAATCTAGGTACAAAAATATAGAATTTTATAGACACAAAAAAAAATATATACTGTTGTCTTAAGTATAACCGAAAGCTCGTCATAAGCTATACATACTAAAATATTTTCAGTTGTGTATACAATGTACGTTTTTCATAATAATAATAATAAAAAAAAAGGCACAAAACAGTGCATAACACTCGACTTACTAATGTAATAATAATAATATTCATAATAATAATGATAAATGATTTACGTCCGTATAATATCTATTTAGGGTTTTAAGGCAGTTACATAATGATAAATATATATGGCCCACAAAAAGGGTCAAAACAATTGTATTACTAGTAGTTGTAGTAGTAGTAGTAACAATAATAATAATTAATATTATTTTATATAGAGGAATTATTTAAATATAGTTACAAAAGTATTTTACAAGAAACAAGTGAGATCATAACAAAAAACAAAATATAACTTGGTTGTACGTGTTGTGGTTTATAGTCTACGACGTTAGTGAATTGACTAGAAACCAAAATATATATATTTTATTAAAAAATCAAGTTAATCACGCCTAACCAGTGCCGTACAAACACGTGGCTGCCGTCGGAGAAGGACCGAAGTCGCAGAAATAAGTAGTCAGTCTTAATACTTTGACGCGTCATCGTCATAGTTTTCTTCGTTCTCTTCTCTCGTTATACCATGGTTATGTTTCGTTTTTTCTTGTCACCACTGCTGACCGAGCTCAATGAACCCTGCAGGCTCTGGTTGAATAGAATCATGTTATTCCGGTGATAGTTGTTGTACTGGCCAGGAGGCGGAAGTCCGTTTTGTTGTGGCTGATAATGCCCAGGGGCCGTTCCGTAAATGTTTTCCGTGTTTCCTTGCTGCTGCTGCTGTTGCTGTTGTTGTTGGAGTTGTTGTTGCTGGTACGCCGGAAGAGGAGGCACTGGTGGTGGATATTGCGTGTCGAAGTCGCCGATCTGACCGTAGGGACTAGTTCTGCGCTCGTGTTCGTGCAATAGTTGCGATGCGGTCCACGACTGGTACGGACTCAATGGTTTCGGTGCTCGGGTCAATGTTGCGCCACTGATGACGCTCAGATGACCGTTACTCTGGTGATGGTATGGATGCGGCTGTTGTTGCTGTTGGTGCTGATGCTGCTGCTGGTGCTGCTGCTGCTGCTGCTGCTGCTGTTGCTGCTGGTGGTTGTAGATTAGCTCGTTGGTCAGCGCCGGCCCGTACTGCGCCACGCTGTACCGTTTCTTCGAATCGGACGTATCGATTAGGCAAGGTTCGAAATGCGATTCCAATTCAGTCTTGATTGCATTTATGGGAGATGATATGTTCAAAGCGCCTCCATTGCCATTAGGTATAACGGACACGTTGAGCGGTTTTTCCTGTTTGGGAGATTGTTTCTCAGGCTTCCGACTGCGTTTCATTACGCAAAAAACACAGTACATCAGCAACAACAGACTCAGGAGCATCAGAACGCCTGCGATCGGTACAACTAGGTCATAGTTCATCCCGATATCCCGAGTAATACTGGGTATTATGTTTTGATCGGCAGCTGTCCACGACGGGTCGGCAGACGAAACCGATGAGTGAGTGGTCAGCGACGGAGGAGGTGGTGGCGACGGTACAAACACTCTAACCCAATTTGATATTGGTCCGGGTACAGAACCCGACTCAACCCGATCGTATCCTTTAACGGCTACGAACAGCGACTGGTCTAAAAGCTCAGGCATTTTGTTCATGTCCATGGAGAAAGCCGTCTCGGAACCCGGCGCTAACGGTAGCGGAGAACCGTGTGTCCACACTGGAGCCGAATCGAAATCATTGAGTAACGACCGAAGTGACTGTGAGTAACGGATTTCGTATCGGGCTACAGAATTTCCACCCATATCTGGAGATGTCCACGTGAGCCTGGCTTTCAGGTCAGGTTTTATTATATCAGCTCGTAAATCGCCTACTCGGCCAACGTTTATCGATGACGACAGGTCCTCCGAAGTGTAGGTGACAGATAGTGGAGCGATGATCCGTTGAAACGGATTTAACTGTTCCACAGACGGCGACGTCATGAACGATCCACAACAATGCGATTCTAAAAATGATAAGAAAATATTAAATAAAGCCTTAAGAGATACTTTAAATCCAAAAGATAAATAATTATCATTCATTTTTACTTACCAATATTGATGGGATTTTTTTCGATATTCCTGGGTAAACTGTTTTGCCAAGTGTATGCGTTGCTGCTGCTATCCGAAACAGTAATCTCGAAAGTGTAAATTCCTGGTCCACCGATCATTGGGTTGAAATATCGAGAATAAATTCCATCACCTTTCATGAGATCCGGATCTATAAGATATCAAAAAATAGTAGTAAAAACACGGTTCACGGTATTGGCGAAGTAAGAACGGCAACAATTTTTTGGCAACAAATAATCGCCATATTAAAAATTAATATCAAATTTTACTGACCACCACTTCCAGTGTCCAAGAGATCGAATTTTTCGCGATGTGAATTCGAACCATTTAAGCCCGGCCGAGTGACAAACACTTCGACTTTGGCACCGAGTACAGGAAAGTTTCCACGTTTGACTTCGGCGTAAATGGCCAGTGGATTGGTTGTGCCACTTGTCCAAGCTCTAGCATTGACCACCGGCAAGTTTTTCCATAACGGTTTTGCCATTACTTGCACATAATGCGGTTGCGGACTTCCTTGGAATCGTTCGATGTGGTATGTCCACGTTCCAGTCTGTAAAACGACGAATTCACACGATTATTATAATGGTTAACATTGGTTTCGTATTAAAATAATAATTAAAAAAAAATTAAATAAAAAAAAAATACTGAAATCATTGTGACAATATTTACCTCATTTATAACTGCTGGCACGCTGAGCATTTTGAGTGATAATAATGAATCAGATCGAGTCGAGTAGACTCGCTGTGATGGGCTGGTCAAGGTGATGGCCTTGATTAGGGGATTTTCAGTGTTGTGCGTGTAAACCGTGAATTTTGCCGGTTCACCCATGTTGTCTTCTAAGACAAAGCTGCCGGTTACCACTGTCCGACCATCGTCCGTCAGTTCACGCCTATGAATCTCTATGGGCAAATCGCCTTTGTTTCCTTGGTAATATGTTTCCATTATGTTGCGCATGACGTTGGTCAGTTTGAAATAAGTGGACAGATACGACAGAGCCATGTTGTACCGGTTTTCGGTGACTGTAAACGATATGCCACCAGTCTTGTCAGCCATCCAGTCTAGAGACTTGCTTCTCTTCAGCATCGGATAGGTAACGGTCGCAATGCGTATATTCTTTCCTTTAGCTTCGCCCACTTGTTTGACTAAATCTGGCGTGTACGCCGACGTTCCTGGAGCAATTACTACAATGACCGAACTGGCTGGTCCAAGGAGACTAGCGCGAGTTTCTAACATCTATATATTTAAAAAAAAAAAAAACAACGATTATGAGTATCGTGTTTCATTTCCTATAGGTACATAATTGTATAGTTATTGCCTAGCAAGTACGATTTATTCACCTGTATAGCTTCTTTGAGCGCGCAAGCCAAACACGCTGGCAGTCTCGAATCGCCCGTAGAATAAGGGATGTTCGAAGCCACTTGATCTCTTGCATCCGATGTATGCAACCTGCTTAAATCGTGCAAACGATTGGCCGATGAGTCATTGGTCGAAACTAATCCAACCTCCGTGTTGGCAGGCAAATCATGCACAGCCCATTTACGAATAGCCAACCGCAAGAAACTCCAAGACTCCTATGTAATGTGATAAACAAACAATAATTAATATGTGAATATGCAAACGTCAATATGCTGCTGCGAGGCGTACCCTTTCCATCATATCTTTTGTGTCCTCGATGACCACAACGTATCTGGTGAGCATTTCTTTTTTGAAAATGAACGTAGGTGTCAGGTTTTGATTCGCAAACAGGTTAACTCTGAAAAAATCGACGGAGAAAAACCAAATGTCAATAAATCGCTCATAGTTCGTAATATGATTACACGCAAAATTCTTACCCTTTGGTGAAGTCCGGATGAACGTTTATGACTTCCATGATACTTCGACGTCCGCATAGCGCGTTTTGTTTGGTCGGCGCATAACGGTCGTGGCTAGAAGCATCGCAGAACTTTGTCACTTGGGAGGCCGTGGAAAACATAAGTGATGTTTTGGCTTCTAGATGGACCAGGCTGGTCGTGTTTATGGAATCGCATATTCTGAAACAAAATATTGTACATTAGATTTCTGCAAACGGTGGTCGTCATCATCGTTGATGACTAGTACAGTATACTACATAAGATCTACAACAATGTGCAAGTTCTAATGGAACACCACGTACCTGGTCTGGGAAATGGGTTTGTCGGAACATCCATTGACGTCGCTGCGAGACGTTTCGGACGCATAACACGATGGGTAGACCGCGTCACCGACGTAACCAATTTCATCGAAAACTCCGTACCGATACTTGGACCACTGTTTGGTCAGCTCTTTGCTCAGGTCCCGCGGTTCTTGGAATAGCCGGTAGCTGGCGAAAATAGCGTCACCGGGACGACCGCAGCCTTGCGACTGTTGCGTCCACAGCGCGTCCCCGTGGACGGGATGCGGAAGTCCAATGTGTACGTCTGGCGTTTCTCCTTGGCTGCTGGTGATGACGCGGAGGTGACCAACACAGTGGTCCGGCCAGTTGAGCGGCAGCATCACAGTCACCGACCGAAAATAAGCCTTGCCTCCGAGCGCTTCGTGCAGGGATTTCGATCCACCGGTAAACGCCGCCTGTGAACACAAAATGAAAATTTTTTTAAAAACCGTCAACAACGTACACCAATCTACCATAGTTCTAAAGGCCACTACTCAGAGAATACACATGTAAAATAGCAATAGTCGACGACTCGTAGACCGCAGTCCAAATTTTGACCGAGATAACTGAACCATTAAAATATCTTACATTTTCAATTCATTGATTTTATCTATGGAATAGTATTTTAAATAATTAATATGGAAAAAATGTAATTACATTTTAATTGTGGATAATGGTTGTCTCATAATAAATATCGTAATTTTTTAAGAAAGATTTGATTATATTATAACTACCTATATTATAAAATATTATAAATAAATTATTTTCCTCTAGACCTCGTTTATACATTTTACTATTTTAATCTCCGGTAATCTGATAGAAATTACTTGGCGACCCCAGACTGTACCTATACAGCTGAATATTCACTATATAATATTTTCGGCCGGTGTCATGTCAAACCTTACGTGTGCGCCGCCGTATACACTACTGTATAGGGCTTCATCGTCATCGGGTAACTACCTCGAACTACCCTGTCGGCGGACGGCAAAACAATCAGACGCGCTGCGTGAAAACGGCGATGTTGATAAAAAGTGTATTAATAAAATAAAATAAAAGAGAAAAACCTTGTCGACAGTGATACACGTATACAACTTATACATATACACGGGCTGTAAAGGAGAAGAAGGTACACAATGCGGCGGTACAACATATTTATCACAAGCGCGTATACTGCGAGCATGCGCGCCCTGGGCGAGAATTGATTGCCAGTCGAACCGGTCGTGATTTTGAACACGTTATAAATCACCCAGCAGCTAATTCGTCCATCCGTCAGTGGTTTCTTCGGCACCGAAACAGATAGAAAAAAAATAAGAAAAATAATAACGAAGACGAGACGCACTGCAGTCGCTCGTAAACGAAAAAGTCCATTAGTTTCGATCGGAATGTCCAAAAATAAAAAAATAAAACACGTGTGTATGAACGCATCGATCGTTATACGAAAATCGACAAGTATTATGCAAATACTATTACAGTAAACTCGTGCGCACGTGTAACATATATATATTAATACGATATGTAATGCGTATAAATAGTATGACCAACCGAACTAGAAACAATTACGACCCACAGTCCGATTGCGATTCGTGTCCGCTCGGTCGAATCGAGTCGATTGCTTCGCTTATCGATTTTCGTTTTCGATATAATAATTGCCTACTCACGACCGCGGGAAAATCACTTCCTCGTTGTCTAATACACACAACGCTATAGCTACGGAGGATTTCTAAAACGCAATGGCGCGCGGTAAAAGTGCATAATATAGATAGACTCTGGAAACAGACGTTGTCGAATGGTTAGCTTTTGATGGGATCATGGTAGTTTTTAAAATAAAAATATAGTTACAATAGCAGCTGAACGCAGAATATTTCTACTCTACTAACAAAAATGATATTGCTAACGCATCGTTTTTATTTGTACTGCAATCGGGAGGAGGTTTCGTCATCGCGAATCAATCTACGATGCGGGAGAACGCGTTAAGAAATAACTTAACCAGAATACGCAGTGAAAATGTGCGGTAAATCTGCGGAGATTTAGCGAGCTGTGATTTTCCACGTTCGCGCCCGACCGGTTATAATAATCATTATAACAGCACCTTTTTTAATGACGACCGACGACTACTACTACTTTGCACGTTTACCGCCGCACGAATATAAAAATATATATAACGAGACTGCACGTGGAAATGTGGAATAATGTAATACACGGGCAACCGCGGCGGTGGCCTCCGTGTGATTGATGCCGAGACATCACGAGGAGAGCGAACGCGCGCGTAACGAGATGATGGTAGTTCGTAACAGATTTACTCGGCGAGAAAACGGAAGCGAAATACACACCGGCAGATAGTTCGATTCATGAAATTAATTGCATTACGCGTACTAAACGGTAAAATTTCCGACCGAGTTTCCGTAATAATTATTGTTAGAACGACTGAGGGGTCGAGACTTCAAAGAAGACTGTTGATGTCATTAATTTTACTCGAAAATCCATCGGACAATAGAAAGGCGTGTGTGTATGTTAGTTTGTTCACTGCACAAGATAGGAATTCGCATCCGCGATGACGATGGGTATTTGAATGTAGAGCGCGCGCATCAGTCGGAAAAAAGAAAACACTAAACGAATCGGTTACGATCGACACGACTATTGAAATCGCCGGCTCCGCCGCCGTTTATTTTAAGGTACGTCGTCGCCAACAACTCATACATACACTTTCTGCAACGTATTACTACAATACATATTACGCATAATAACGATGAAAATATAGTAACAGTGAAATCTATCGCGGAAAAAACTGCAGTTTTCAATATATGCGCAGGCTTACAATGTTATGCGATATAATTATCGGCCACGGAGAAAGTATACGTTATACCACCGTGTTATTATATTATTTTGGACATGTACATTAAACATGCGTAGCATATGTGCACAGCTATATCATATACATACATGTCACAATCAATGACGATTTAAAAAATAATCTATACGTCATAAGGTAATCGGCGCGCGCGTGACATGTATCGAAGTATTGAAAAATCGAATCGGATTTCGACACAACCCCGGCACGACTATTATATACTTTTTTTCGCTCAATGTGTGTGTAACGGGCAAATAAAATAATATACCAGTAAGTAATATATAATAGTGAAGATATCGTCGAAGGAATTTATTTTGATTTTTTTTCATTTCGAAATAACTGAAATACGAAGAAGAGAAGACAAAACTTTCTGCAAAGACCGAAGTCTCCGAATGTTTTTCTCACGAGGTATATTTTCTCCGACACACACCACACTCACTCCGTCTCTCTCTTATACACTCTCACGGATAATCGGCATACGGCAGCAGAGTAGGAATTCTCGCGCATTGTCCACAACGCATTACATGCTCGGCGCGCCGATTACACAATACACACGCACACGGCGTCGTATCGGAAATCGAATGATGTCGCTTCCATTTATATTGTGCGACCAGTTTTCTTTTTTTTTATATCGAGGAAATATCATTGACATCTTTTTACCGATAAGTAAAACGGTGATGCTGCTACGGTTAACCTCACGTCGATGTATTACCCCGGGGGGAGTCAAAATTTTTGTTTTAAATTTAAAGCGCAAAAAAAACTTAAAATTAACTCTTGTACAACGACGTCGTCCAGTTTCGCACACACTAGTCATTCGTGTATAGCTTTGTAATAACTTTTATGCCAATATAAAACACTAAATTTTCCAATCATAAGACACGTAGCCCCACGCGCGGTGCCAATATACGCGGCGGTGGCAACAAAACTGCACGCGCTACGATTAGACATGGGTTGACACCTCTACCGCCGCCTGTCCGATTTACATTAAAAAAAAAAATAAAAAACGTGCACCGTGTCCACAAAATGACTAGGACGATTTTTTTTTCTTATCATTATTTTTATTCAATCTGCTCTCGGGAAATCCGTAGACTATCGATCGGACACGGGTTATATATTATTACTATTATTATTATGTGCTACTGCTGTTGAGCAACTCGTGTATGGAAGAAGAGTTTTTATTTCCTTTCTTTTCGCCTATCGTATAACGATTTAATACACGGAGAAAAAGTAGACACAATCGACGCACCATTGACGTCTTATTATAATAAGTATTCTGTTAATAAACTGTTGAAGGCACCTCACCACTGCGAGCAACGTTACTATACACACCGTCTATATTGGTTACTATAGCGCGACATTATTTTATTGTATCCCATAATTTATATTGTTCATTTTGGTTGACGAGATTTTAGGGATTCGAATTGGTCGACAAGGGTACACACATCGCAGATTTGACGGTGTCCGCCAAGTACACGTGTAAATGTACTTAGACGCAAGGATGTAACAACATGTAATATATCAAGTAAGATAGCGGCACCGTGTACCTCGACACGGAGTCTGTTTTGTCTAATTAGCGTCCTGATGACGCGCGAGGAGCTGCCGGGATACAAAGTAAACCGGATGAGTTGCACTTTGAATGACCAAGACGACGAATATTATTACTCTCTGAAAGCCGCATGCCGACGTTGGCAAATTAGAGGTAAAAAAAAAAAAACCAAAATAAAAAAACAACGCCGACGTAATAACACCGCTCGATCATGAACTATACGTTTGTGTGTGTGTGTGTGTGTGTGTGTGTGTGTGTGTGTGTGTGACAAGAACGTTCAATCAAAAATACTCGTGCGAGACGCTTTCGGTATTGTAGAAGGCGGCGACTAATTAGTGTTCAGGTTACTGCGCGCGTAGGTACGTGCGAGGAGGATGCGGGCCGACGTTTTTCGGGATGTGGGTACGGAGGACTAATTTCAAAACGCGTTAACACTGATTGGTCATCGTGAAAAACGACCGATTTTGGAATGGTTAACCTAGTGTTCTATCGCCGTTTATCGTAAGAATTGAAAAACGAGAGAAAACCTTAATAATTGTACACGAAAAAATCCCTGACGTAGAGCTGCGCTGTGCAATTATTGTCTCGTTGTGCAGTCCCAAATCTAGCTATCTAACAAACTATCCACCGAATAGAGGATGTGCGCATTAAAAACACGAGAAGAGAACAAAAACAAAAAATTAATCCGTACGGACGAAACACACTGCAGAGGGGGGGGGTGGATGATAGGTGTTCCATCACGTAGGATAATGGAAATGATTATTACGGTCGCCCGTGTACACCAGAGGATGTGTGCGTTCAATATATTGTACGTATGTATTTATATATATATATATATATATATATGAAATATAATATGTCGCCCGGGAAAATATCTCATAATGCACTCTATACCATAAGTACCGGTTATTATTATTATTATTAGTATTGTTTATGTATATATATATATATCCCCATAGTTGCACGTCGCGTTCTCTCTGTCTTTCTCGAAAACCTGATCCATTAACGGCTGACACGCCTCT